ACAAAAGCAAAAAAAAAGGCCTCTAACGCTTGCTCTATTTTTCTATTCTGTTTTCTTTTTATTTATTATATGATTTTAAAAAAAAAAACCTTGCTACGTGTACTGCATTAAGCTGAGATTTGTTATAGCACTTGCTTATCATTGCTCTTTTGTTGATTTTGATGGCTTCCACTGTCCTCATTTGTAAGTCGCTTTGGATAAAAGCGTCTGCTAAATGTCTAAATGTAATGTAAATGTAAATGTTAAAGCTGTGTTTTGTTGCTTAATTAACATTAATGACACAGACAGCAAGAGGTATTTATAGGCTGCTGTCCCTTTAAGACCTGATGCACTGATCTAATATAATGATACACATCCGATTTCTTTCTCAGCTGTTTACGTTCACTTAAGACATAACCAACTGCGTTTACCAGAATGATTGCCGAGATGGGTATTTTGACACAATTTTATGTGTATAGCCCTATTTGGACAGTAATTGTTTCTCAGGGGGACGTAAGGGATTTTCACCATTTAAAGGGGGTAGTCGGTGATTTTATTGCCATCCGAATCCAGAATGTCTGTGTTTTTCTCCGACCACCCGTGTAAAAATCCCCGGCCGGATTACCTACTGTGTTTTGACAAACACCAAGGTAGTATGGTGATTTAATTACCGTCCGAATCCACATCCTTGAGTTTACAAAAAGAAATCAATACAAAATTCATTGTTAAAATCTTTTTGTCCACTGCAGAGCACCGTATGATAGGTGTTGAGCTTTGCCGTAATTTGCATACATTTTTAAGATATAGCCTACATTTATTACGGAAATGTTGGAAAGTATTTAAGAACAATATTTAATCACCGCCTCACCACAGCGGCTGGAAGATGTTAAGAACAAAAAGGAGAATTAAAGCACAATACATTTAAAATGGGCCTTTATTCTGGCAGCAACAGGTGTGCAATACCATTTTAAAATACGTAGCCTATTATATATTATTACATTAAAAATATAAACCAAGCAGCTTCATGCTTACTTCATGTAAATAAAAGGCTACATTATTATTTCCGCTAAATTCTCCATTTTAAAAACGACATAATTTGAGAGAATTGCAAGACAAACCATTCATCTAGCCCAGTGATCTTCACTATCCTGCTTGTTTTTAATGTTTTTATTAAATATCTGTATTGATCATATCATCGCATTATTTACTGCCATCTGCCATGCGAGCCACGCAATGAGTAACACTGATCTATCCTATATAACGTGTCTGTCTTTCTATTTTTAAACAGGATATTTAAATAATCAAATGATACATTTGATATTATTATTACATTAAATATTAATTTATTCTGATTATTCCAAGCATGTGCCATTTTATTCACAGCAGACAATCATGCAACTGACCACGTAAGCAGTGCCGGCGTTCAAAATTAATTTACATTTCCAATAAGCCTTTCTTGCTGTTTATGGTCAGATCAACGCAAATATCAACTCATGCTTTTACGCAGCAAACACAGAGTTGTAAATGAGAAAGAAGTTAATGTGCCTTCTAAAGATACCCTGTAAATAGTGAAATAAAATTCCTTCCTTCATATTTGTTGATATTTGTGTATTGAAAATATTTTTGATTGACATTTAAACTCCTATCTGATTTTCTATATTTAAAAAAAAAAAAGGCCTTTTTTTATTTGGGCTAGTTAAATAAATTTTCGGGCTACCAAAATCTGAAGAGTACCTGCCCGAAGGGCTACCAGGGATTTTGAAATTTTGTGAGCCCTGCTTGTGTTAGAGGTCTGCATTCCCGCGGCTCTCCCGTGGGAACCGACCAGATTTTTTGCGCCGCGGGATTAAATTCCAGAATAAAACGCGGTAGCGATCTGTAACTTTGGTGTAATTTAAACGGGAGCGGGCGGTCTAACAATATCCCGTTCCCGACGTCCATTTAGAACAGCATATCTGCGCTTTATTCTTATTGACCACCGGTACAGCCTGCACTTGGACTGTTATGCACGCACTGCATGCATGCTTTCTGCGCCACATTTTATTTGCGGGGTCTGTGCGCAGCATGTGCATAACGATGCTCAGAGCAGGCTGTACCTGTGGTAGCCTAAATATACGGCCCTCAGGCAGAACAGTCAGGTTGTTGATGAATGACAGAGCAGAATAAGGATGGAGCAAAGTGTGGATGCGCTGTCCTTGAAGGACGTTCAACTCAGTTTTGTTTATATTTTGCTTAGCCTATAATTTTAAATGACAGATGTCGTATTTATTTATTTTTCTCTGCGACACTTTTCCTACTGTGTTAACAGAAAAATGTCAAACGAATACATTTTGACTAGGGATGTTCATTTCGGTTATTTTTCCTAACCGACAACCGACGCTCATTAACCGATTGTTAACCGTTAACCGACAAGATTATATTAAATTAAAATTGGATTAAATTAGAAAGGATAAGTGTCTGTGACCCGTTAAAATAATAACATTCGTTTCCCAGGGATTAATTCTACATGCGCAAAAAGCAGCAAACAACAGAACATGAGATTTCACATGGCCATCATATCACATCACGCACCTGCAGCGCTTCTGCGAGCGGAGAAAAACATAATAAAGCTAGGCTATATATACATATACAGTATCTCACAGAAGTGAGTACACCCCTCACATTTTTGTAAATATTTTATTATATCTTTTCATGTGACAACACTGAAGAAATGACACTTTGCTACAATGTGAAGTAATGAGTGTACAGCTGGTATAACAGTGTAAATTTGCTGTCCCCTCAAAATAACTCAACACACAGCCATTAATGTCTAAACCGCGCAGAAAGCAGCATCCTATTTTTCTTTAGGCTTATTTTACAAAAGCACAAAGATTTGTTTTTATTGTGAATGTATACAAATAAAGGCAAACCTTTTACAATTCCGATTATCTTTAGGACTAAAAGGAGCTGTTATCACCGCACCGTTGTGATGTTATGCAAAACATTTTGTTTTACGTGGATATTGGAACGCGAGTGAAGTAGGCCTACATAATAAATAATATTTTGGCATTCAAATACATCGCGAATACGGAAACATTTGATTTTGTGTGGAATGAGAGACCCAACGATGGTTTCAGTTTTGTTTTAGCCTAAATGAATTCGTTTTGGCTTGTCGTTTATATTGCTATAGCTTCATATATTTTTAATTGTTGTTCTTTTCTAAATACTGTTAATTGAAAGGATTTGTTGTGGAGTGAGGGGAACTCAAATAACCTAGCTATGTTTACAGTGTTTATTTTAATGTTTGTAAACATTTCGCATCGGCATTAGGCCTATTTCTGAATGAAATAATAAAATGCGACTTATACCGACTTGTTTTCCCCCCCCTAAAAAACAAATTTTTTTATACGCGTAGCATATTTTAACCATGCAGCAAACCTTTTTTAATATTTTGATAAACTACTGAAAAATTAAATAATGAAATTACTTTTTAAACCGTTTAACTGATTGTATTAATCGGTCAAAATTCTTACGGTCGGTTAACCGGTTAAAATGAACATCCCTAATTTTGACAAGACGAATAAAAATAGCTAATAGGCAACTTTTGTACAACCTATTTATTTTTTTCTCTCTGCGACACATTTTCCTATTGTGATGTAAATGTTAAACGAATTGTATCCTGACAAGACAATAAAAATAAGAAAAATAGTCCCGCGCAGACCTCTAGCTAATGTGTCTGTTCAAGCGCAAGGAGATGCAAAAGAACCAACTCTGCATGTCTGAAACGCACGGCTGTGCGCGCAGAAAACAGCACACAAGTACTGAATAGAGTTCTCTTTCGCCTCTTCTTGGCGTGGAATGGTTTAAAATCATTAGAATGTGTAAACTGGCAAGACAACTGGCACATACAAATTATAAACTTTCACTATGATGGTTAAATTTTGCAACTAATCCACAAATTACATGCATGCCGAACTGTGGGGCAACCACGATCCGTTTCACCCCTAGAGACGATCTATCTGAATGTGCTGATTAAGTGTAGTAGATGAATGGTTCAGCTCTAGGGCCATAACCACTGATGTGCATAACAGATAACCCATTCTACACTTGGTCCGTGGGGAAAAAAAAAAAGCTTTAAAGGACTGAAAATACAACACCTTCATGTGACCACAACATTTGCAACTAAAAATAGATCACAAGTGGTCAAAGGAAGCATTTGAGACACATTTTAAATGCTCATTCTCGGCTGACCACTTGATGACCACCTGAAATGGATATTAATTTCAGGTGTAAACAGGACCTGATATAATGAAAACAGCACAACAGCTGATGACGTTGAACTGAATAAATTAATCAAACCATATGCTTTCTAGGAATAATCCACATCAGATTCTTAGAAATGAGCTGCAAGTAACAGGCTTGATTAGATTGGAGATTAGACAGTAACTCTCTAAATTGTGAGCTGTGGCAAGGTTTCACTGTCCTACTTAGTGCAGACACTTGCACTGCTGATCCAATTACCGTCATGTGCTCAAACTCCCTGCGTGGCCACACAGGAAGGACTCTCCCTGACTGAGACCATGTCGGAACACCACGATCACGGGAACGAAAGAGAAAAAGATTAAAAAAGAACATCCAATGATGAGAAAATGATCTTCAACAGTGAAAACTCTTAAAGCCCATTCCAAATGTATATATAATTAGTAGGCCTATTACTAATTCAATAATTATTAAAAAGAGATTGAAGCAGAAATATTTAAAGACACAGTGTACTATTCCTAGTGTATCTATTCCAAATGTATTTCCCAATTTGCTGGAAAAAAAAACCACTTGATATGTCTAACTTCAAACACAGCTCCATTTGCCACAGTAACCGGCAAAAAAATTATTCAGGGGTCATGTGAGGCTGCCCTCCAACACCATTCACTGTGATATGTGCACAACAACAGATCATTTGATCACTTCCAAGAAATCATCAACTAAGTAAGAAAAGCTGTGAGCGATGACTGTTAGGGCTATGTTCTGTTTGAAGTCATTTCTACCTTTGAGGGCGGGAAGCTTCTGCAGTTCCCGGTTCTTGCTGAGGTTGAATCGTGACGAACTCTGTCGACGCTCCTTCTTTACAATCTGAGGCCCACCTGAGTACTTAATTTTGTTGAGCTGAGTGGGAGGTGGAGTGCTGTTGCTCGGACGCTTGCTGGCTGTCTGCTGGGCCTGGTGAGAAAAAAAAAAAACAATGTTCAGAATCAAAATGGGCACATTATGCCATTCTATGCTATAGCACCACTTTTGGTCACAGAAGGTCAGACTCCAGTGTCTTCCTGATGGCAAACACAATAGAAGAGACAAAATACTGCAACAAAGAAGTAAAAGGGGACATTCTCATTCTGGAGAGCATTTTAATGGAGAAATATTTGGATACACTCATCAGTGCTAGAGTCATCATCAATATTTTTGGTCCGTTTTCTCAGAAGAGAAAGACTATACATTTTAAATGTGTGTATCTACTAAAAGCGAATGGTCAACTTTAAGGCCGTTTATATGCTAGTGTACTCCTAAAGACAATACAGTAAAAACTACACATTTAATTTATTGGGTCTTTAAAACAGCTGACTTCATTGTCTATAAAGTACATCAGTTAAGTTTCTAAATCTCTCTTGGTATTTCTCCAGATCAACAGATTTTCTTCTATACCTTGAATATCAGTCAATTACAGTTTTGTTTGCACCTCTATATACATATGAAAACTTATTTTTACATATCTATTCTGTCTACATCATAACTTATTTACAACGCTGTTAGAAAGCATCTACCAAACAACAATATAAATTTAAGTCAGCTAACTGCATTACGCCTCACTTGGAAGCAGCTGGCTGTAGTGTAATATTGAGCTCCACTTGAATATATTTACAGGAATAATTGCGAAAAACAGCTTCATGTGAGATCTATGTGGGATAGTCTTTATGTGATAAGTAAGCAAAAAAAATATGATTAATGCAACTAACGTCAATATGAAAAACAAAAGAACAAATGACAGTGGAAAGTAGTGCTGTGTTCGATACATCGATACGACGATGTATCGTCACAGAGATTTGACGATACGAGTATCGATACAGCTGTCTTTGTATCGATATTGTGGCACGTGCGCAGCAGTGGACCGCGCTTAATTTGAATACAAGAACACCGTTTAAAACGGAGTAGAAAAGTGGGAGATTTCTACAAAAATAACAAATAGAGCATAATATATAGGCTTCAACAAGGTTTAATCTGGCTGCAGAAGAACACAACCGAGGATGCCTAATATAAAGAGACGTAATCCCCAAAACAGATCTTCACACTTGCGCAATACGGAAATATCTGCTAAGTGTGTTACTTATCTTTGTCAACCTGGCAACCATGAGCACGCGCTCTCTCTCCGCTTTGGATAAACGCGCTTGCTTTCTGAAAACACCGGCTATCTTGCAGTTTAGCGATCTCCACTTCGATATTATATTCTCAGAATAGTGTAATTCATCAAGTGTTCGTTTGCACGAGAGAGAGAGGTTGTGTATGTATGAATTACCACCGTTTTGCCGGGTTTCTCTATTATCAGTGAAGCTGTAGCTTTAATTGCTTTAGAAACGACGATGTTACCAGCTCCTTGTTGAGAAAGATAATGTAGCTCTTCAGCGATTAAACTGTTTTTTATTGATAACAGTAAAAAAAAAATCGAATTTCGAATATTTGACAAATTTAAAATAAAAATCCACATTCGAATTGAAAAACGTTGCATTCGAATTTTAGGTGTGCGTCAGGCAGTATTATCAGTGGCGCACGAAATGCGACGACGATGTAAGTGCAAAGGCTACAGGCAGGTGAGGTTTTTTTCAGGGTTGGAGCTAAACTCTGCCGGACATCGGCACTCCAGGACCGACGTTGCCTACCCCCAGTTGAACCCACTAGATGCGGCGCTGCTACGTTGTTCATTCAAAATATTGCGGGAAAAAAGAACATCAATGCGGAGATGATGTTGTTTACGTCAAAACCGAAACCAAACCGTTCACACAGAATGCATATTTATCAAATTTTCTAGAGGGAGATCTATCACCTTTGCACTCGCATCTCGCACAAGAGAGCCGCATGTTTAGAAAGCCATGGAAAATTAATAGAAGTTCAACTTTTTAAAAACATGCCTCAAGACTTTATGGCAGTTTTTCCCCATCCTACTGCATCTCAAGTTTTTAAATGAAGAAAGTACTCTTTGTGATTGGTTTTCGGTCCTTTGTATTAAACTATACATACATGCATGATTCTGTTTTGTTTCTAATTGTTTAAGCAACTTTAATTATATAAGGTTTATAAACATTATTTTAAACATTATGCACTTTTTTCAAAGATAGTCGTGTTATTTTATTATGCTTTGAAGAAACGTGCATAATATTTTGTTCAATGCGCCCTCTTGTGGCCTCAGGAGAGAAGCCAAAAGCTTTACCCTCCCCTAACTTTTTTTTTCTAATTGTTTAAGCAACTTTATTAATTATATATGGTTTATAAACATTATTTTAAACATTATGCGCTTTTTTCAAAGATAGTCGTGTTATTTTATTATGCTTTGAAGAAACGTGCATAATATTTTGTTCAATGCGTTCTCTTGTGGCCTCAGGAGAGAAGCCAAAAGATTTTTTTCCCCCTAACTGAAATTATGCCTTTTAAATTCGAATATAATTTGAATATTGATATTTAAGTACAAAATTTGAATTTAGTTTTTCAGCCATATTGACAGCCCTACAGGGCAGCGCTAAAAAGTTTGTCTGTGTGCGCGCGCAGCATGATCTAGTGACTAAACGTGTGTGAGTGAGCTACAGTGAAGACAGCGCATTAGTTTAGAACTCTTCAAATTTTTTATTATTATTTTTTTTTAAATGTAGTAGAGAGTGTGTTGATTTGTGAAATGATAACCTACCAGCAATGTTAAGATGATTTGAATATATTAGAATGAGTACATTACAATATAAATGTATTAGAACGAGTACATTATTATTTATGGGCTTAAAAACAAGATGCAAACAATCAGAATATTGTATCTGGTGGGGAGCGCCCAATGTAAACATGAAACATATGCCATCATTACTAGAGATCGACCGATATATCGATTTCCCGATATTTTTCCCGATATTTAAGCATTTTACCATAATCGGATATCGGTTTTGTAATATCGGATTCACAGATAAACGCCGCCATCTTGTGGGTGTTTTGAGAATTGCGCGCAGGATCGCCATTGCATTGCGTCTGAGGGGAGACGAGACAACAACAACGGCATGCAGGTACTTGATATAGTTGCTATAGTTAGTAAATTTTATTTAACATAACAGCCATTTGTGCACAAATTAGATACAGTCGTCAGTTGCTCAGTCACATTTTATGAATTTTTACAAGGCATGTGACAATGTGATACGTACGACGTATTCGTAATGAGACGCATTTATAAATCTGTTGAGGTCTTCCTGCGCGTTTCCGCCAAAATAAAAGTTGTGAAAAACCAAGAACTCCAACTCCTGTCCTTTACTTATTTTCTCCATTTGAAAACATTAGACATTCTACATTTATTTTGCTTATTGTTAATATTAGTGTTGTTGCTGTTGATGCTTTTTATAAATAAAATGTTTTATATTGTTGTAAAATTAAGATTAAATTTTACATGAAAGACTGCTAATTTTCAACACTTAAAATGTTCTTACTTCACTCAGTCCGCTCCTGATCCGCGGCTGTTTACCACAAACACAACATTTATCCATTATTTTGATTTCAAATCCAAACGTTGTTTCGCAAGCTAGATTAAAGTGATTATTACGTTTTGAATATGGATATTTTTCTTACAAAAACACATCAATTCGCTACAGGAGGCCTTTGTTCACCCCCCGGAGCCGTGTGAGACACTTTTTTTAATGGATGGGTGCTTTTTATTTCACTTCTTTTGGACTGAAGCACTGCAACACCCGCTGAGTGCCATTAAACAGCTAGAAAGATCAAAGACGATTTATATTTTAATATAACTCCGACTGGATGCGTCTGAAAGAAGAAAGTCATATACACCTAGAATGCCTTAAGGGTGAGTAATTTATGGCCTAATTTTCATTTTTGGGTGAACCAACCCTTTAATTTGGCTTTATATCCACATTTACACTTAATTTGAAAGTCTAGCATAAACGGCTCATATTGAACAAAAGTTTAAGTTTTAGCCAATGCCAAAACATTGTATAAAACCCATGCACCCACTGAAAACTGTTGTAACAAAGCAACGCATCACATCAGTCAACAATCTGCAAGCAAACTGCCTCCCTAACCCATGGGAGTAGAAGTCCACAACTAACCTAACCTACATACCTCCTTATTACCATATCTAGATTCAGCCCACATTAAACATTCATGAGTAGCCTGAGCTATACTATCAAATAAATGTGTCTTCCATATAAGACAAGCGTCACAGAAACCGTTTCAACCATAGATGAAAAATACAGTATTACGACTGTGCCCAAAACAAAATCATGCAAAATTTCTGTCCTTTTGTCAAATTGTACGATATGACCGCAGTGTGTAAAAGCCAAGGCAGATTATGCAACAACCACCATCTTTTATGACTGTGCGATATACATCTCAGCTAATACAATATTTCTGGCTCTGTCTGTGCTTCGTGTGAGGCTAAAATTAATTGCAAAGGCAATTAATCGGCCGCCAGTGAGAATGTCACACTAAGCTATCCAAGACTGCCAATTTTGCCCTACGACAAAATAAATGTTTCACGATCCCTGAAATTAGTCTCGACTCTCAAGCAGCAAAATTGAGGCAAAAAAAATAAACACACAGTGTGCACCTGGCTTTAGAAGCACATTGATTAAAAACAAAGCTGAAGCAGTTCAAATAGTAGTAGAAATTGCTAAATGAGCAGCATGTAAGCATGTGACGTTTCCAAAAAAGACTATGAGTGCCCTCGTGGGAAAATCTTTTATGTACTGAAAGTTTTTAATGAAGAAAAAGCCGACACTGTCCATGCAACAAATGGTATGTATGTGTGAACAGACTGGCGCTGTGAAACACATGTTGAGGCCTGCCCATAGCATTGCAAAGCTGGCCTCAGTCACAGGGGTTGCATGGCTGAGCCTGACTTAAAATAGACCAAATCAATAAACTTCACCCGCTGCTACGTCACACTCTCTGCCCGCTGATTCCAGCCGTCAGTATCACTTTGATGAACACTGAGATATTTCAGTCCCAACTTGGTTCACGGAGACAAGCTATTATGTCAGTAAGACTGAACACTTAGAGGGATACAAATCAATACATAAATGCATACAAATTTCATTATCTAGCAAATCAGTACTGACGCAAGAAGAAAACAACAAAAAAATGTAGTGCACTTTTCCTTTATCGCACTGAATGCTTTTTTACCAGGGTCTAAAAAACAAGTCTGACTGGATGCGTTTCCCACAGCAACCATTAAAAAACAGAGCAATGCAAAAGGTAGTAGTAAACATAGTATGCAAGTATATTTACCTGAAATCTACACATTAACTAAACAGTTAAATACTTTTTTGTAGACTTCTTTTTATGAACATGCAGACAAATCATATAGAAATATTAGTACAAACACCATATTTATATAATTTAATGAATAAAAATTCTACTAACCTATTAAACAACTCTCAAAAAATTAAATAAAAAAGGATAAAGATAGCATATTTGGGGCAACTGTGATTGATTGTGCACCTTTTTGTGCAATGTGCAGTTGAAGCAATACAGTATCTTGCAATTTACCTAATTCGTACTCCTGTCACAAAATTAATCACGACTTGAAGACAGAAAAATATATTTTAAGCTACTGCTATTTGATTTAATAACACACACACACAGACTAACATTTTGAGAGAGGATTTGCATTGCTTTATGTAGAAGAATAAAGGACAGCTTTAAGAGCCACTTGAATCTTGGCTATTTAATAAAGCAGAAATAGAAATGAGGGTTTTCTGGAAGCAAGGTAGCTATCAAGAGCTTTAACCATCCTCAGCATGATACACTTCAAGACTTCGGAGTTTGACAAGCTAAATATGCAACTGTAAAAAAGTAAACTGTATGCAACATACAGAATAAATATCATCTGAGCTGCAAAAAGACAAGCAAATCAACAGGAAGTGCAGTGATTACTTCATATATTACTATGCATAATGAACGCTGCCTCGCAAAAAGGCTCTGAAATTGAATTGTAGCCTTCTTGTGCCCTGAGGAAAGAAAAAGCCCAGCTACAACACTTAGCAAGCAAGTATTTGTGCCAAGTCCACTAGGCAGCCCTGCGGTTAAACACAGTATGAGATATGTTTTTAAAACGGTCATCTTTACCTCTTCTGAATTTTCAGTTCCAGCATCCTTTCCGCCATTACTGTTTTTTGTGCTGCTTTTTGCAGATTTGGTTGGTTCCTGTAATGACCACAAAAGAACCAATAAATGAACTTCCGAGTCATAAATCAAAGGAGGCTCCTATTATTTTGATCACTTTTAAAACAGCCTTTTTTCTTGGGGATGGTCTGCATACAAGTCAAATCATGGGCAGGTCATGCTGCAGGACTGGTATGACAGGTGGTGGCCACCAGCAGCCCAATTGCAACTAGATTTTGAATCAGGCAATGACACACACAAAACATTGACTGCTTTCTGGGAATGATCTGAGTTCACACCGTCCAGCATCATATTCATAGTGACAAACTTGTCCACTTATATATCGAGCGTTTACATAACGATGCTCACAGCCCATCCACTGAAACATTGACTCATGCAGGGACAGGAGAACATGTTTGCGTGTCCAGCTTATGCTGCAATCTGTCAACTAATACGCCTCTATTCACATATTAACGGCCGATCATAATCTCACCATAGAAAACTGATGTATAAAACAAACACCGGGTAAAACAGCTATCGAAGAGCATTCTCTCAAACATAAAAGACTCATATTTTAAACACACGTCACGCTGAGCTAAATAAAACGCTTTGTCGTTATTTTTAAAATCTTGTGAACATATAACTGTCAGTATTTTGACTTGAGACATACAGGCAAAAATGCGCCCTTAGCGGGCTAGCGGCTAGCGCGGCCTTCACTTACAAAAAACAACGCCAGCAAATGCTGCAGAATAATTTTTACAAACTGAATTCTCGGACACATTAATTAGACATGTGTTATGATTGTAATCTGTACTTTACCTTCTCTTTTTTAGTTTTATTCGGCATTTTTCAAATGTTGTCTTTAGCCGTGCCTCCGTGATAAGGCTTCCCTCGCACTTGGGCTCTCGGGCACACTGTTACCTCCAGCTCCCCGCGCCCTCCCTTCACCAGTAACAATCTGATTGGTCGGCAAGGCTCGAAACGACCTAGCAACAGCACAGCGGAATTTTTCTATTGGCCGCTTTTCGAACCAGACGGTGTGTTTTCTAAACGGGGTCCTGGCTGCGACGAGGAAGGGGACTACAGCTGTTGTTGACGGCTTATCTATCTCAAGCGGAGGTGCAGATTGTCAAAAAGAGGACTCGATTGTGGGAGGGAGACTTGTGTTGGTGACATTGACCGTTAACATGTCAAAATAGGTTAATCCAGAGGAGATTTTGGTTGTATAAAGCAAAAGAGCTGGACCCCTTATATAATTGTATTTGTGAATATTGATGCAGTTGAGGTCATTTGTGGTCCAGCTTCAGAATAATTGTGTCATCAGATAGATTGTACTATATTCAATGTATTAAGGGTATTATTCATTCATGATAGTCATAAAAAAAATGACTGCGTTGAGGATGTTCCACTGCAATTGTCTTATAAATACATGGTTAAAAATAATTTAAAATATCAACAAATGTGGGTCTTCTTTAAAAAAAAACACTCTTTACCTTAGAATGTCTTACACATCTAAAACTCATATTAATCGTTTTATATTTAGACATAAAATAGTATTTATAATACAATTATAAAATCTATATTTTAAATTCAAAATAATATTTTGTATATTTTCTAAAGATTCCATCAGAAAAGACGTCCATACAAAAACATCTACTGCCATCTATTGGTATATTTTTCTCAAAACCATTTCGACACGACACTATACATTCGACTTTGATTCAAACTGCCAAAAGAAGAACAAACATGATTGCATTCACAAGCTTTTATTTAAAATACATAAAAATATAATTTTCATTATTTTTATTTGCCTATCATTAACTTCGGATTTAGGAGATTTTGGTTGTATAAAGCAAAAGAGCTGGACCCCTTATATAATTGTATTTGTGAATATTGATGCAGTTGAGGTCATTTGTGGTCCAGCTTCAGAATAATTGTGTCATCAGATAGATTGTACTATATTCAATGTATTAAGGGTATTATTCATTCATGATAGTCATAAAAAAAATGACTGCGTTGAGGATGTTCCACTGCAATTGTCTTATAAATACATGGTTAAAAATAATTTAAAATATCAACAAATGTGGGTCTTCTTAAAAAAAAAACACTCTTTACCTTAGAATGTCTTACACATCTAAAACTCATATTAATCGTTTTATATTTAGACATAAAATAGTATTTATAATACAATTATAAAATCTATATTTTAAATTCAAAATAATATTTTGTATATTTTCTAAAGATTCCATCAGAAAAGACGTCCATACAAAAACATCTACTGCCATCTATTGGTATATTTTTCTCAAAACCATTTCGACACGACACTATACATTCGACTTTGATTCAAACTGCCAAAAGAAGAATAACAAACATGATTGCATTCACAAGCTTTTATTTAAAATACATAAAATATAATTTCATTATTTTTATTTGCCTATCATTAACTTCGGATTTCAAATATTAAAATTTTTAACAAATTCACTAGTGAATAAATACGGTGATAAAAGGATAGTTCACGGCCAAATTGAAAATGAAGTCATTATTTACTCTGTCGTCTTTTCAAACCTGTATGACTGGACAATTCTGACGAACACAAAATAAGATATTTTGAAAGTTTGAGTCCATGGACTTTAATTGTATGGGGACGGGGGAAAAAAGAGCGACACTGTTTTCAAAATATCTTCTTTTGTATTCTACATAAGTTAAGTGATTCAGCATTGTACATGAGGGTGAGTAAAATAATTTTTATGTGGGGGTGAACTATGCTTTTTACTATGCTATTTTTAAAACTTACTAGTAGAGTAAGTTCCTCCAATGTACATGAATTATATTGATTAATTCACGATAAATTACCAAAACCAGTCAAGGCAAAAACACTTACCTTCATGGTAAGCAGCCGATTCATTTTTTAAGATGTTTTTTAGTTCCTCCCAGGATGCAGATGTCAGCTGTAATATTGCCCGTCATTAAAACACAATGTAAACCAACCAACCATATCTCCAGCAAATGCCTGTCTAAACAGTGGAATTCCTAAATACATTAATAATCTAAGGTTTGATTTCTTTCAGGATTCATGCATATATGGAAAACTATTTGTATGTAAATAATGCACAGCTACAAATAAAAATAATACAAGTTCAGTAATGTCAAGTTGAAGATGTTTACTAAAAGCAGTTACAGCATATTGGCTTATTAGCATATTAAAACTAGCAATTATACCAACATTCATGTTTGATGTCCATGCAAATATGTACACAGTGCAATGGGCGTCATTCATGAAACACCAACATAATGGATTTGTATATAACATTCATAAAACCATGCTTATGCAAACCGTTTCACTCAATGTGGCAAAGTACCTTATAGAAAGGTTTTATGAATGACTTACACAGAAATCAGTTCTGCTCATGTTTCATGAATGAGGCCCAATGTGTGCAAAAGGTAAAAAAAAAAAGAATGCACAAGTCTAATAACAGCAGTAAGAAGCATATCAGTAAGAAGCAAAGACAGAAAGGGTTGCTGTGATTTATTTGAGCTAGCACAGAACGTGTGCAATTACACCAACTATCTGTAGATGCTAAAGTAGCATGGTAGCAATGTGAACATTATAACACAACATTGATTCCTTTAAAAATTTAAACTGGAAAGAAAAGCCATCAACACGGAGTACAGTGTAATAAAAACTATGGAGGCCAAGCCTGATATTTTCTGTTCAGAGTTGTGAACGCACATGTCCTTGAAGCATGAACTCCACACCATTTCTCTTCTCTGAGCCTGGATCTTTCTGGCTCCTGCATTAAAATATCTTCATTTATTTAAATAGAACAAACAGAGCAAATGGCTTTACAGACTTAAATGTTTGATACACATCATATTCATTATGTGTTTTACGTTACCTTTGGGGAAAAGGAATGGTTTCTGCTGGAAAAAAATAAGGAAACAAGTAGCTCAACACCAGGTGCTTTTGATAAGTAGCGAAACTTTTACACATATTAAGGATTCATTACTAGATGAAAGTTCTCATTCTCTTAGAGGGATTCCTTCCCCAGCACCCACTTCAGAATGAATGCTTTTCAGTCCACATTTTCACTGGCATTACCTGCCAAAAGGTTAAGAATAGACATGAAACATTCTAACTGGATAAAGCAAATACAAAGAATACTTAAAAATCACTTATTTACATTCAGAGGTAACATGTACATCCCTAAACCTACTCTTGAAAGGTCCTTTACAAAGGCTCAAAATTGAATTCAAATGTGTCCAAGTTCAGTTGCTCAGTGAAAGAACCAGGAAGAGGGGAGAATGACATGGGTTCCTCAGATTCCAGAGGGTTTTCCTCATTATTTGTCTGCATTGTATCCTGACTATCTACTTCCATCACAGTTATATCCCCCACAGAGATTTCAAAAGATTTAAGAACTTGTTGATCATCAAAATCTTCCTCTTTTGCATTATCTTCATTTTGAAGGTCAGGTTTTAAGATGGCATCCTCAAAGGCTTGTTCAAATTCTGAGTCCTCATTCTTGGGGGGTTCTTCTGTCTGGGCAACTTCTGAGTCTTCGTTCTTGGGAGATTCTTCTCTCTGGGCAACATTTGAGTCCTCATTCTTGAAGATTTCTTTGCTCTGGCCAACTTCTGAGTACTCATTCTTGGGGGGTTCTTCTGTCTGGGCAACTTCTGAGTCTTCGTTCTTGGGAGATTCTTCTCTCTGGGCAACATTTGTGTCCTCATTCTTGGGGGGTTCTTTGCTCTGCCCACCTTTTGAGTCCTTATTCTTGGGGGGTTCTTCTGTCTGGGCAACTTCTGAGTCTTCGTTCTTTGGAGATTCTTCTCTCTGGGCAACATTTGAGTCCTCATTCTTGGGGGTTTCTTTGCTCTGGCCAACTTCTGAGTCCTCATTCTTGGGGGGTTCTTCTGTCTGGGCAACTTCTGAGTTTTCGTTCTTTGGAGATTCTTCTCTCTGGGCAACATTTGTGTCCTCATTCTTGGGGGGTTCTTTGCTCTGGCCAATTTCTGAGTCCTCATTCTTGTGGAATTCTTCTGTCTGGGCAACTTCTGAGTCTTCATTCTTGGAAGATTCTTCTCTCTGGGCAACATTTGTGTCCTCATTCTTGGGGGGTTCTTTGCTCTGGCCAATTTCTGAGTCCTCATTCTTGTGGAATTCTTCTGTCTGGGCAACATCTGAGTCTTCATTCTTGGGAGATTCTTCTCTCTGGGCAACATCTGATTCCTTGTTCTTGGGGGGTTCTTCTTTTTGGGCAACTTCTGAGTCCTCGTACTTGAGAGGTTCCTCTCTCAAGGCAACTTTTGTGTCCTCGTTCTTGAGAGGTTCTTCTCTCAAGGCAACTTTTGAGTCCTCACTCTTGAGAGGTTCTTCTCTCAGGGCAACTTCAGACTCCTCGTACTTGAGAGGTTCTTCACTCAAGGCAACTTTTGTGTCCTCATTCTTGAGAGGTTCTTCTCTCAGTGGAACTTTTGAGTCCTTGTTCTTGAGAGGTTCTTCTCTCAGGGGAACTTTTGAGTCCTCGTTCTTGAGAGGTTCTTTGCTCTGGCAAACATCACTAGCATTTTTGTATTTATTGTTTATCTCTTTGCAGGTTGAGCCACTGTCTTGAGGAGCAAATCCAGAGTTTTTGTTGTCACCAACACTGGCACTGACAGAAGTTTTAACTGCGGCACTGCCACTGTAAAAAATGTCAAACAAATCTTTTGCTTTTCCTGCTGCAAGAGTTGTCTTTGGCTTTACAGTTTTGAGGGGTGGGTCTCTGGCATTAAAAGAAAGCTGTGGAGGAGGACGAAGGATTACGGTGAGCTTCTGCTCCTCCTCAGGCACTCCAGGAGCAGCCACATCAGACTCGAGAGTAATAACACACTGACTGGGAGTAACAGGTTTCATCTGGCTGAAATTTACCATTTTTGGTGCCACAGTGGGAGACTGAAGTGGTACGGGTATGTTGAAGATATCTACAGGCTTTACAGAGGTGTCCTTTGTTTGTTTTAATTGCACCTCTTCTCCACTAAATGCCTTAGAGATGAGGTCTGCTGACAACGCTGGGCCCTTCTGAGTTCCTGTTACAGGTGCAGGAGATTTGTCAGCAGATGGTGTTGGTTTATTTTGCACACCTGTGTAAGACTTCCTAATAACCATGGGAACTGGGGGAGGAGGTAAATTAGGATTAGTTTTTATTTCGTTGTATGCTAGCCATTCACCTGAAGGGGGAAGCACAGTCTTTCCTGACAATTTGATAGCAATGGATTTTGCAGCAGCTATAGACTTGGAAAAAGGATCTAGCTCAGCATCCGTGTTTTCTGCCATTTCAGTAGGCATACTCTCTTCCTCTTCCTTTAAGAATTGCGCCGCCATCCTCTCTGCCTCCTTCTCCAGTGCTGTCTTCTGTGGCTTTTTCAGAACAAACTTTCCAAAGCCAGGCCGACAAGCAGCTTCCTCGTTCTTCTTGCGAAGTTTAGCAAGCAAGGCAGGACTTGGACCACATAAGACTTTAGGAGGCTCGCTGGGCTTCTCTGGTTCTGATTTGCCATCTTTAGCATTGGACTTCCCTATGCTCTCCTTGTCATCTTTGGAATAACCAGCCTTGCCCTTCTGGTGCTGAGCTTTATCTTCCTTTTTTTCATACTTCCCATTACTCTCTTGGTCCTCATCCCACTTTGATTTCGGCCACTTCCCCCCTTCCTCATCTTTGTACTTTGATGACTTCTCTTCAGCCTCCCGAGTGTATTTGTATTTCTTATCCTCTTCTCTGCCATACTTGGGCTTCTCCTCTTCTCTACCATATCGGCCCCTATCATCATCCTTTCTAAATCTATATCTGTCATCCTCTTCTCTATATCGATAGTGTTCATCATCGTCTCGGTTTCTAAATCTGTCCTCTTCATACCTTGTTCTCTCCCCTTCCTCCTTCCTGTACTTATGTGTGTATTCCTCTTCTTTTCTGCAGCGGTTTCGCTCATCATCTTCTTTTTTGTACCTAGCTCTCTCATCCTCTTCCTTTATTTTGGCTCTCTCATCATCCTCCTTCTTGTATTTCTGTTTATCTATATCCTCTTTCTTGTATTTCTCCTTAAGTTTATTCTCATTCTCTTTGATATTCTTATACTCCTCTTCCTTGCTGTACTGTGGTTTTGTCTCCACTTCATTACTTGACATTTTTCCTTTGTTGTGCTTGGATTTCTTCATATCATCCTGTTCGTCGTCTTCACGTTTTCGTTTGCGCTCTGAACTCTTTTGGCTCCCTAAGCCAGCCTGACGGTCCAGGTTCCTCCTTTGTTCATAGAGGGGATTTTCATACATTTTTGCCTGGTGACAAAATCAAATGCATATGAGACAATCTGGTCAAAAAATATATAATTTGCATTTCCTAACTCTAATTAAATATATAATGAATATCATGTGTGATATGTACCTTGTATCTCTCATTGTGAGCATGGCAGGTAACATGGGCCTCAGCACAAATGGGATCACCAAAAAACTCCTTGCATAACTGGCAGAAGAATCCCCTTACAGGGATCAAGAACTCGGAGCCTAGAGGAGGGAATACAGCACAAAATTTAATACTTTTACTAATAGTGTGTAATGTTTTTGATGCCTGGTAATTTACCCTTGCTCTGTTCCAATAATGAGACACACTGCAAGAAAACCTCAGTTTCAGACACTGCAATTAACATGACACCAATTATGGAGGGGAATCAAAGATTTGAATGATTCTGGTTCTCTGATCCTTAGATTCCACTTAATGATTCCAGTTCTTTAATGGTACATGTCTTGAAACAAATAAATCACTTAATCTTAAACCAAATGAATGTGTTTTCGGATTAACAATCACATTTTATCAAGACTCTGTTACCTTTGGCTGGCTTGGAAGTCCTCTTTCCAGCTGGGGGTTTCTTTTCACTCTCCGATTTCGCCCAAGGTCTGTCATAAGGATCTAGAGTCTATAGGAGAACAAAACAATTGATGACTGAAGCAGAGAGGCGACTGGCAGAAATAAACGCACTACTCTTACACCACAAAAAATAAAAAAATAAATAAAATAAAAAAATCTGATTACATATATTAGCACACATACCTTCCTATGTGTTTTGCTGTGCAAATGCATGAAATAATCAAACATTGAACCACTGGTAACATTGCAGTTTTTACACCAGTGGTTTCCTGCGTCGTAGTACTCGAACTGCTCGGCAGCAGTGTCCAGGGAGTGGCTGCTCGATGGAGGAGGTGACTTAGGTTTTTCAGGAGACGCTCTTGATTTTGAGGATGCTACCTAGATTTAGGCAGTACAAAAAAAATGCATAAGTAAAAGTGACTAAGCAAATCAAATACTCTTGAGGAATCTTTTTTTAAATGAATGAAGAAAAGCTTTTCAAATAAACAAATATAACAATCCTATTTGCCAATCTTTAAAGTTTATCATAGGAGACTTACCTTTGCAAAATAGGCCATCTGTTTTCCAGTCGGGGAGAAGCTACCCATGGGTCTATTACTTTAATTTAACTGACTACTATAAAACTAATGGTTTTAAAAAGCCATTTCAAATTTAGATCTGAAATGGCTTTTATATCATATAACGTACATTAAATTCATCAATAAAATCATTAGGTGCCAATTAGGGCTGCACGATCAATCGAAATGGAATCGAGATCGCGATTCGACAGAAGCTGCGATTGTCATGCATATCTTTCAGTGAAGCACGGTTCTGTGATCAGCAGTAAATCTCCATCCAAAGGCCAGAGGGCGCTCTCGCGCTGAAACTCCAAATACGCCTCGCAGAAGAAACCCATGAAATGCCTATCGCTGCAGCTGAATAAACAGAAGAACATTATATATATATATATATATATATATATATATATATATATATTCACCACAATAACTACAGAAGTAGAACTTAACATTCTAAAATAACAAAATGTACTGCAGAACATTTTAGCTATTCAGATAAACATTATAGCAAAATGTACTGCAGAACATTTTACATCCAGTAGAGGGCGATATGGTGTAGCATAATGACAGTGGGCGATCCAGGCTACTAACAATATAGCTAATAATTGGCAGTGAAGGCTCATCTCGCGCATGTACAGTCTTCTGCCATCTTCACCCATTAGCCGCTTTTCAACTGGACAGTGCGAGCCGGGGCTTACAGCGAGCCAGGTGGGGCTAATAGCCTCGGACCTCGAGCACAGAGGCCGAAATCATGCCGCGTTTCCACTGTCGGGCCAGTAGCCTCGCGGCACTCCTGTAAAACCCGCCCTAAACACGCCTTCACTGGACTACGTCACACAATACAAAGTTCCACCAGCGAGAGGGAGATTAATGAAATAAATCGCTAAACAAATATATCAGAAGCTGTCGTTTAGTCTTTATTTACAATCTTGGACACCACATGCGGCTATTGACTGACCACGAACAGGAAATAAAACTTACTTGCAGCATTTTTGATTCGTTAATGTCTCACGGGTTTTTTTTTTTCTTTGAACAATTAAATTTTGGGCTAAAAGTGTGTTGTAACGCAAGCGTTACTGAACATGTACAGAGTAAAATATTACTGAAAATTGATTAGTAATCCCTTACACTACTGCATTACAGCAAAAAGTAATCAGTTACTGTAATGCTTTACTTTTGTAACGCTGTGTGTTTGTGATGACCTTAATAAAGAATACTAGTATATACCTTGTTATGTGCAAGATTAAGAACACTTAATTACCTAACAGCCATGATGAGTAAACAAGTCTATGCTATAGAAAAAATATCCCTAAACTACAATGTGTTCATATATTACAGAAGTTGTTGATGTCCTGTATCAGAATCACAATGTTCCTGCTTAATAAATCATAACCACGATAATGAGGGAACAAATCAGTAAATCATAGCCACAATTTCAATAAAATTACTAAATTGTAAACAAATTCTTAATTTGTGGCCCCAATATATATATATATATATATATATAGTTTTCCTACTATAAGTCACTTTGAACTAAAACAGTGGTTATCAAACTGTGGTATGCTGTGATACCACCAGGAGTACACAGTGTCTCAGGTGGTTTAAAACTCTACAAATGTACGATACTAAAAATGTTGCGTTCTGGTCTATGCGCATTTTATTCTATGTGCCGAAAGAGCCACAAAAGCTGATCTGATCAAGAAAAAAGCAGCATGTTTATGGCGTTATTTTACTGACAAATGTCGTGAGCGCATTATTATAGCGCGAAAGCACATTAATACAATAATACTATTCTATGGGTTTAATGCATTTGCAGACAATGTAATTACATGTAACTGTCATATAACTGTATATTCACTGTTTTAGAGAAGAGTGCCATTGAATGTATAGCTAATATTAAGTGGATTTTCATTTTAAAAAATCAGAACTGAAAACACTGGATTTAAAAAAACAACAAAAAAAAACACTCCCAATAAATGGCCAAACAGCAATGCTATTAGAACATTTATTGTTATATCTTGCATCATTTACATCTATTTTTACATTTGATGTTGATTTGAGGAGTTGTTACTTATTATTGCCATCATACCAACTGAGAATTTATTGCAATTATTTTAAATTCAGTTGAGGTATCTGTCTGACATATTATGACATAACATTGATGTTTTATATAAAGTCTTTAGGGCCATAGGCTATAATATGTTGTTTTTAGATAAATTGCTCAGAGACCAACCAGTTGGACAGAGGTTATGTACAAATCATCCAAGCACCCTCAGTTGTGGAGGTCTGATTGGTTAAAGCTTTATTTATATAGTACCTTTTAAAACAGTGTATACAAAGTAGCTTACTTTACAAAGAGATGCTTAAGTGCATTTGCAGAAAAGATAAAAATACAAAGATAAAAGAGATATAGTAAAACAAAGTAGCTACAATAACCAGTTTGTTAAAAAAATACAACACGAGCAGCGTGTATCTGAGCGCGAGCGTCCGGTTTTGTGCGAGAGCAACAGAGATTCGTGCTCGCGCATTGTATTAATGTGCTTTCGCGCTACAATAATGCGCTCACGACATTTGTCAGTAAAATAACGCCATACATGTTATTCTGTTTAATCTCAAAGCAAGCATTTAGGTGCCAGGACTGAAGGCAGCCATATTGTAATCCTTTCTAAATGTTACTACTGTAGTGTATGTGTGTTTTTAGATGTTACTCCTCAGGGTCCTTCCACAGATCTGCAAAGGCATGCAGCATGATTAAACTGAACTACAGGAACACTGATCTTAATAATCAGAATATGGCATTATGTTGCTCACAGTTACTTGGATGGCCTGATTTGATCAAAGGTGGTACTTGTCTTAAAAATTTCAGAATCACTGGACTAAAAAAAGCATCTGTAAAAATGATAATCAATAATGTTTCAAGAGTACCAAATACATTTTGGCCTTATGACACCCCATGAGACGACCCTCTATGTAAAATAAAATAGACTACTGATATAACTGCAGTCTTCATTTTATGTGAGAGAAGACTGTTTTAAATGCATATTTTTAAGTATTATTAATTTCATTAGGGTAATTTTTTTAATGAGAAAAAAATTGTATGCAGTTATTTTAAAAATTACTGAATGAAGTAATTTAAATAAATATTTTGTAGAATCACTGTCAAGAATTAAATGGCACAAATTTTCAAAGTGGCAGTCTAATACTTAACTATGAAAAAGCCTATCAAGTGCAAGTAGTACCTTTCCTGTAACAGAATTAGCAACTCTACCTTATTGAATGAGGTGCTGGTTTTGGCCCCTGATTTGTCTGGGCTTCTGGTTGACTCCTTCTTACTCTGAAGGGGCTGCTGCCTATGGTCCCCAGAGATCTTCGAGTCTTTGTAGCCTATACCGAGAATAAGAGCCACTTTGACCAGCTCTTCATATTTTTGATCTGCCTCTCTCTGTTCAGAACGCAATTTGGAGATTTGGGCCATTGCATCCTCTTGGAGCTGACTGAGCTCAATGAGGACAGGGTCCTTGTGTCCATCCTTCTCTCTTCGCTTCTTTCGAAGAAGCTCCCCTAAAGGAACAAATCAAACACGTATAATACAGTGGGCCCTTACTTATAATAAAGAAAACACTTCCATTTTACACTAAGAGGGAAATACCTTGCTGCTTTCTCAATGTTTCCACATCCTTTAAGAGATTTTCTTTCCTCTTGTGTCGCATTTCGTTCTCCTTTTTTAGCTTTTCAAGCTCTTCCATGACCTAAGACAGAGTTTTTTGGGCCTTAAAGGGTTTTTATGGATGGGCGCTTTTTATTTAACTTCTTTTGGACTGATGCATGCAACACCCGCTGAGTGCCATTAAACAGCTTGAAAGATCAAAGAAAATTTTTATATATAACTTTGACTGGATTCGTCTGAAAGAAGAAAGTCATATACACTTACGATGTCTTGAGGGTGAGTAATTTATGGGCTAATTTTCATTTTTGGGTGAACTAACCCTTTAAATTTATTCATCAATAAAAACATAGGGATGGGAATCCTGATGAATTTAACAATTCTGTTTCTGATTTCACTTCCTTAATTCCTCCCAAAATATACACGACACAACAATATTTAAAAAGAGTTATTTTGGACAACACATTTTTTTAGTTTTTAATTAAAGTTAAAGAAAATTATAACTTAAAACACTTGGTCATATGAACAACCAGTCAGTCTCACACTTCGATAACTCATAAGCTTAAAATTCATTGGGGAAAAAAAAATCTGATCATAAAAAAAACCATACAATGGATACACGGGTGCTTGTATGTTAGTTGTTGCGAACAACCAGCGAGGATAATGCAACAGAAAGATGTAAAGATTGTAGAGGCTCAAGATGTGTTAATGGAACCAAAATAAATAAATTCCAGGGGTCGTAAATTCCAAGAACCAGAGGTCGCATGCATAAAGCCACTCACTTAGTCTTAAGCAGGGATGAACTGAAATGAAAATTCTGGGCCGAAACTGGACATTCTAGATGCACTTGGCCGAAAATCAAAACTTCTTTGTAATAATAATTAATTATTTTATTAAATAATATAAAGTAATTTTGTAAGACTTCTTAATTTAACTCAATTTTTATGATACTGAATAAAAAATAAATAAAGTCAATAGAACTCATTTATATAGATTCAATATAACCAAACTTTAATTGAAAGTAACAATAACATTGGACAGAAAATATATTAATATTAAATATCAATATATTATTATAAAACGGATAGTTCTGGTCCTTGATTCTGATTGGTTGAGCCGCGTTCGAAGCTGTTGTAAATTACACTACAAACATACACCTTTGTTTACTTGTGTGTGTTGCTCGGCAACCACTTTGTTGGAACCACAACTGTTTCTGAGGAACTACATTGTTTGGTGGAAGAATACTGTTTTTATTTATATCATTAAACTTTATTTGCTCTGTTTTATTCTGTGAAACCTTCGAGTCGAGCCTAACAACGCCCCTTTATAAATAGCGGTTATAAATTCACTGTAAACCACGGCTTCTTGGGGCTTATTGCTTTATTTTTATTCAGTTCTATGCAACAGAATCAGATATTAGTTTTTTTTTTTTTTTTGGCTAATTATCCAAATAATGTATAGTCCTACAAAGCTATTATTATCGGAGCCTGTGAGCAGAGCATAGCGAGGAGCAGATCAGTGAACCAGAGGGTAGTGTCATTTTACCAGCGTTGCCATGTTACAGCACAGTAGCACGTGTTATTTGATGGACTTTGCTTTACGGGTGAGCATGAGCACATTACATGAGCGGAGAGCACATTCACAGAGCGGATTATTGAGTGGAGAGTCACACTGCGCAGTGACGACAGCTAGAGGGAGAGTGAAACCTGCACGCTGAACACTGCTGGGCATGTGTGGCGTGCCATACATTTTTAGCCTTTTTCTCTTTCGGCCAAAAACCGAAAATGCCATTTTCAGCCAATTGTTTTTTTCCGGTGGCCGAAATTTCGTTGCATCCCTAGTGCTGGGGCGTTTCTAGGATTTTTTTCAACTGAGGGCAAAAGAGGGGCCACAATTAATACAGAGGGGCCAATCTTATGTTGTGTATTTATATGTAGAACTGTAGATATCCAAATCATTTAAAGTTCAGTAAGCTTTAAAATCAGCAATAAACAGTGATATCTTATTATCTTTTAATGGCATTTATTCATTGCTGTAAATCAGAAGTCAAATACAATTTGTATTATCTTTTCAAATTTCAGAATTGAAAAACTGTAATAAATAAAAGAATCTGATCTGTAATCAGATCAAGTGTAATGGGAGAGCCTGGTGAATCAATGCCACATATGTTGTTCCAAACCTGTGTGACTTTCTTTTTTCCAAGTTACAAAAGAAATTGTGAAGAAAGTTTGTGTCCATATATAATGAGTCAATGATCAAAATAGAGATTGATTTGTTTTCCATTGGCTTTCATTACAGTGGACAAAAACATTTTCTTTTTTGCTTCATGGAAGAAAGAAAACCATAAAGGTTAGGAATAACATGAGGGAGAGTAAATGATGACAATTTACGTTTTTGTGTGAAATACCCCCATTAATTTATCTATCTGACTGCCTTGAAACATCCTGGGTCAAAAATGTTCTTTGGTAGTGAACAACTTTTCTCTCTGATTATAAGCTAAGGAGAGTGAATTGCCTGATCAAATGGTTCTCCAATGAGATGTGTGACATTCAGGTGAAGCAAATCGAGCTGTGCAGATCAGAAACATATTTAGCAGAGGTGGGTAAGTGAGATAAACATCATACGATTTGCTGATTGTGAAACCCTGATTGTGTTATTATGTATTACATTCAGCCACAGAGAATTGTATTGATTAGCATTATCTTGTCTAGCTAACATCAAACCTGGTCTGTCCTAACATTGAAACACGGTACCAAAATTAGGGGTCGACCGATATGTGTTTTTCAAGGCCGATGCCGATACCGATTATTACAGATCAAGTAGACCGATAACCGATATTTTGAACCGATATATATGTCTGGTGTAAAAATGAAAATTAAAGTCAAAATTAAGAATAACAAGGACTCTGACAAAAACTGCCTTCTCTGGTGTTGGTTGAGTGTAATACTCCCACTGTATTTATGTCCTCATGTAGTGATACGACAGAAGCTGAAATCAGTGCGAGCGTCGCACACTTTGTATGTGTAGAAAACAACACCGCGCGTCTGTGCCATTTACATACACAGAGACACGCAGAACATGCTGGATTCAGATTTAAATAGTATTTTTGCGGCTTAATATTTACAGATACTAGTTCATATTGTGACTCTATTTAAGTGTACTGACCTACTTTTGATTAATTCATCCAAACTTTGACAAATTCCGACTGGTCTGACTCGTGACTCCCAAAAAATCAGATGGGTGGTGGGCGGAGATTGCTTTAGTCCACAGAGTGGTGAGTTCTGACAGGCTGCATCAGAGCCAAATAGCGCGTTTCAAAATTAAGTTATTTTATCGGCGAATCGGTTTTGAAAATGACCGATAATCATTAAAATGCTTAATATCGGCGCCGATAATCGGTTGACCCCTAACCAAAATCTAGCGCTGCATCTCGCTAATTGAATAAAATTAGGTATATAAAATAGATCAACTTTCATCAACTTCCTATTCTTAGTTTTCAGCTCCTAAGGGCGGGTGTACACGGTGCGAGTTCGGACACTCGGGAGGTCATGAGCCATTGCACACGTTACGAGTCGTAGCAGTTGGTACACAGAGATATGGAGCTTTTCGATGTTGCTGCTATAGCTTCGGACAGAAAAAGAAAGAAAATAAAAAGATGAGTGTGCAAATGATTTGCTGAATTGCAGAGACAGGTCCTGTTCTATGGGGATATTTAAACGAAAGCAAGAGCACTCTCAGTTGAAGCTGTGATGATAATAATAATATTACAGATTTGGCAAACAATCCAGTGCCTATTTGTGTTTGTGCTCTGGAGAGCATCAAGTTTCTCTTTACAACATGTTTTTGCAGCGGTGAGCAATGTAGCCTATCACTGGCCATTGCATTCAAGAAATCAACAGATATGTCAATCAGAGGCGATTATGTTAGAATCCACTCACCGCTCGCAAAGCTGGAGTTCTGTCCAGCGCTGAATTCTGCACGCTCACGAATCATCTCATTATTACATAGTGTAGACTTGATGTAAAAAGAGAGATTCATTGTGCAGTGTAGAGCTTTATTGATTATAACAGAACTTTGTGAGATCGCGACAAACTAAGATGAGTGACAGCTTTTTAGTGATTATAAAGGGAGCGCTATTTATGCCGTTGCAATAAATGGAACAAAATATATGTGAAAAATGTGCATTAAATAGAGCACCCTAACTCATTTCAGAAGCACCTTCAGTGATTCACATTCAGCAGAGAACAGCAAAGCCATTCCTTTCAACAAAAACAACTAGAGAGATTTGTGTGTATATGTCAGTGTATCCACACGAAATGGGGTCGCCTAGTAGCCACTGAGCTATAATAATATAGATCTAGCGTATGTGATGCAGTTGTATGATTTGGTAATATGGAAGAGCCTATACACTGGTCAAAATCGTGCCGACTGCCCAAATTTTTTAAGCATGTTTAAAAATCATCGGGACCTTGGGAGGCGCTCGCCTCGTAAATTCCTTTCACACAATGCGAGCCACGACCATATGAGCATCAACGATTTCCACACGATTTCTCCCGATGGGAAAAAAAAATTGCATACGAGCTCGTACGACAGAAAAAAATTGCACCATGTACATCCAGCCTAAAAGACTTAAGAGTGCAGGAAAGGTCTTAGCATGATAACTCAATATGATGAACCACACACTCTCCAACATGGAAAAAGTGTTTTAGACTTGCATAATAGTGAAATCTGGATAAACAAAGTTGATCAAATTTCTTGCACTTACCTTCTGTTTTTGGCTAGCAGTATTCTTATCTTCTATTTCTTTCCTCTGAATGCCACTGGTGATCGCTTTAGTGGCCACAGGATCCGATTTAGGGGGTGCTGAAAGGATAAATCAAATCATGTTGGTAAAATGTGATGAGAGAAGTCTAAATCACCCAAAAGTTCACCCAAAAATCTCTCATCATTTACTCACAGTCTTGTCATTCTGAAACCTGAAATTACTTATATTCTTCCATAGAACACAAAAGGAGACAATCTTTTAAACAATCTTCACATAGCTATTTTCCATTATTAATTGTGACCACATCTGTGTAGCTCCAAAAACAGAGTCTTGCTCACATTCTTGTTTATTTAATAAAATAATATGCCACCTCGATACTAGGGCTGTGACGGTGGCAGATTTTTAGATCGCCGGTGGCACGGTGTTGATATATATATATATATTAGTGGTGTCAAAATTAGCGCGTTAACGTAGGCGATTATTTTTTCAGTTTAACACGTTAAAAATATTTAACGCAATTAACGCAGGGGCGGGGCTAGGGTTGGCCACCCCACTCACAACTGCTGCTTCTGTCACTTTTTCTCTTGACAAGAAGTGCATTTATTCAGTCTCAGAATGACTGAGAACGGGAGACGTTTCAGACGCACGCTCCTCTTCACTTCGGTGCCAGGCGCGAGTCAAGCGAGCGCGGAAACGCACAAAGGCGCCGGCGCGCTGTAGCCTGTATCCTTCCATATCAAAGCGCAAAATAAACTACGTGCATGCAATGCCATGGTCAGTTAAGTCATGAAGTTACCAAAAAGGCGATTAAAGCTGCCTTAAAACTGTGCATGCATGTAATATATTTTATATGAGTCACATTTAAGAACATGTCTGTTCTTAAGAGCAGCCCAGCACTGTCTCACGCATCTAAAACACCCGATTTAACTCGTCAGCTCATGTTGATTTTAGCACTTCAGTCAGCGAATATGCAGCCTGCAAAACACTAAAATAAATACCAAAGAAATAATACAGTTAAACAAGAAAGTAGCCTAAATAAGAAAGTTAAATAACACCCTGCCTACAGGACGCGAGCTGGGCGGCGCCACAAAATACTATAAAACTCATTATAATCAGTGATGCTACACTGGATGCGGCACGACACGACATGACAAATCCCCGACAGTAAACTGCCTTGTTCTATTTATGAGGTACTGACACAGAGTTCAAATGTCCTGTGTATACACAAGACAGACTCAACCTGTTGTGAAGCGGCGGTGTCGCGTCCGGAGTAGACTACTGTTATTACACTTGTATACAAAACTTCTTATTATTCTTGTTATAGAGTGCGCATGTTGTAATAATCATGCCAGTTTGAATATGCTGGATGGAAAGTGGGATTTGAGAATCTGCGGCAGATTAGAAGATTTTTAATAGGGTTGGGAACCGAGAACCGGTTCTTATCCAGAACCGGTAGTGCTTTTCTGAAAAATACCAGAACCATGCCAAATTCCTAAGCTTTGGTTTCGAAAACCGTTCTGGTGCGATTTGTGGGCGAAGCGCCTTATCCTTTAATAGCGAGACCTGAGTAAAGGGAAAATGATCACAGAGAGAACAGATGAGTGGCACTGGGCTGTTACCAGATTTATTGTGAAAGCTTTGCATCCTTTTTCCACCGTTGAGTTCCCATGGTTTAGGTAGGTGTTTATGTACAATGGTACAATTACTATTTATAACTAGGCTTTATGCAGAGAGAGACAAGGTTTTCCTGGGTCCTTACAAAGTCATGGCTCAACGGGTTCGTTTCTGCCGTTCCAAAAGCACCACCTACTGGACAATGAATTTGCATTTTCAGCCCATCAGCTGTTTTTGTTCAGACCAATGCGAAAAACGACCTATATTTTGCAGGTTTTAAAAAAGGTCTTCAAAAGCTTTAAATTTTAATATTTAATTTCCATATTTTCTTCATTTTAGTGAGATGACTAAGTGTCTTAACCCTAAATACCACCCACCCTCAAGCTGACAATTTTCTTTCAGATAAATTGTTTTTGCTAAAATTCCTAAATAATATACAGTGGGTACGGAAAGTATTCAGACCCCCTTAAATTTTTCACTCTTTTACATTAATGAGGAAAAAAAATTAACTTAAATGATTTTAGCAAATGGCTGCAATATAACAAAGAGTGAAAAATTTAAGGGGGTCTGAATACTTTCCGTACCCACTGTATGTTCAATTTGTTGACATTAACCATCTGTTAGGTTGCTTCACACTTGGTTCGACACTAATGGCGCCGACGCTGATGGCTGCCTCCGTGGCGTGCTCCGCAGTTGTTTTTATGTTTTTGTTAGTTTGTCCTGTCTTTAGTTATATCCCTGCAATCAGTTTCACCAGAGACGAATTGCTGGACATTCGGAAGTACACACCACCTGATATTTCACCGGTTTTCGATTACATCAAGCCAGCAGCTGTTTACCCCGTTGCTTAGTAACGATGGCGCAGGAGAAGACGGCAAAATGTGTAGCATTGCTCTCTTCAATTGTATATTTATGCTTTTGAACCATTGGTTTTGTTTCCAAAGATTACATACATAACGGCACTTACGTCTGTCTTACGAATGTACTGCAAATGCTATTAAGTACTCTGAAGGCGAACAGAAATGTGATATACAGCTCTCTGCTTGCAGCGCGTCAGTCACGCTTGTCAGGAAAGTGAGTGAAACACACACAAACACATTTTTATCAAATAATACATCATTAATAGCGGTTCACTTCCATGATTTGGCATGATTGTGTTCACATCAGCAGCGAACAGTACTGGAGTTCACTTGAACCGTACCCCAGACCACCCCTTTTAAGCGGACTCGGGTACGGTTCGCGGGTGCACACCCAAGTTCGGAAGACCGCATTCACATCATCCAAACGTACCGAACTCTGACGTCAATCGAACCCGGGAGCACACCAAAAGTGCTAGTGTGAAAGCACCCTTAAACTCATTTGACAGTAAGCAATTTTAATTGAAGACATTTTAATGAAACCAGAATCGGAACCGGAATTGGACATTCTTACAATTCCCTAATTTTAAGAGAATAATGACTTAATGAATTTTAATTTTCAGTTTGTTTCTCACACAAAATTATCAGATTTGCTAGAATATAATACACATATGGACATACAGCATATAGCAAGTCATATGGACTGTTTTATGGTGCATTTACACATTTTTTTGGTTCTTTCAGAAGCTTTACAGACATGGTCACTATGAACAGTCATTGAACAGGATTGACCTGTGTGAAGATTCTTCAAAAATTCTCCTTTGATCCACTGAACCAACAATATACAGGTTTGTATTGGCATGAGGTTGAGTCCACATACACAATGACAGAAATGCAATTTTCTGTAAACTATTCCTTCAAACAACTGCTTATGAATCACATGTAAGGTGACTAACCTTTTGGATTGTCGTCTTTACTCTCACTCTGCACAGTTGTGATCACTTTAAGAAAAGGTCGCTCAATGTTAGGGAGGCTGTAGGGATCCATTGGACTGGGAGGAGGTACTGGAATACCTGGAGGTGGGTACATCGGCCATCCCGGAGGCATATATGGAACATAATTGCCATATGGATCGTAACTTCCTGGTGGGTAGTCAGGTGGCATTACCCCACGTGGGGGTGGCCCAGGGTATGGGGGCATGGGATGTGCCGGGAGGCTGGGTCTGGAGGGATACGTCTGTGTCCCAGGACCCACAGTGGGTGTGGTAGGCCAGCCGCTTTCTGCAATGCCAGGTTTAGCCTCTTTCTTGTTCTGACTATGTGAGCATGGAGATCTTTGTTCTGGGGAAACTGGCTTTTTCTTGCTGCGACGTGAAGTGTGATCCAAACTGCCACTTCGGCTTTGACTTCTTCTGCTTCTACTTCGACTGCTACTCCGACTGCGACTGAAGCTTCTGCTGCTACTGCTGCTGTAGCTCCTACTACGGCTCCGGTGCTTTCTATCCGACTGCCTACGAGTCAGAGTCTTCGCAGGGGTGTTACCGTGCAGACGCTCTTGCGTCCTAGACTTATTTATCTAACACACATACTCAGTCTACATTTCAATTTGCACATAATATACCTGTACATACAACTGTCTATTGTTATATACCTGTACATACAATTGTCGATTTGTATATTTTTATTCCTTATTTACTTCTATTTCTAGTTCTATTTTTTATTTATTTTTATTTTTTATTATCTGTGTTTTTTTGTTCCGTCACTGTCATTCTGTTACACTGTGGAAGCTTCTGTCACGAAAACAAATTCCTCGTCATACCTGGCATACCTGGCAATAAAGCTCATTCTGACTCTTGATTCTGATTGCTTGGTCCGAACCAGAGTTCCCCCCCCCC